CATGCCAAGCGTTTTTAAAATCATACTTAATTAATATGTTCGAATCAATTCACATTTCGGAATATTGACTGACATTTCATGACATGGACAGTTTACTTTAATTCTTATCACAGTGGATAACGGCCGCATTAATCGGCCGTCTGCTTACAACCTATAGCGCATGAAAACCCATGCTTTCTGTTAGTCGGCCACTTGTTCGTTTTACTGCTTTTTTTAATCGCAGAACCGAACGAGATATTGACTATGTCGCAGTGATTTGGTGGTAATGAACGACATTTTCTTGTTTCTCACCCCATTGCCCAAAATATAGGCATATAACCAAATGCTTACACGAAAATCATACGAATCAAATATGTGGTTATCTGAACACGATTAAAAGCTAATTCTAAATGAAGTAACTGCGCTTATTTTCAGCATCTTTGGTTTTATTTTTATTTATTCTAAATAATAAATTAAGAGACAAGAAAGTGTCACGGAAAGACGTTTATTAGAGCACAGGCGTTTTGCAATAATTTGTCCGCAAATTATTTTCAAAGTGTAATCTGCACTTATTTGAAAATAAATAGAAGTAATGTGCCGAACAACGTTAATTGACCGGGGGGTGCGCTAACGGTTTGTGAAGTCGCTGTTCAAAATTGCAGTGATCAGCATCCTATCCTCACGCCCTGCGGTCCTGCTTGCAGTCAAAAACCAGACGAAACGGTGGTACTGCGCCTTAACTCCCGTTCATTTATTTGAAGAACTGCACAACATTTGTTTGTTTTTTATATGGTTATCACATCAACGCACATAACCCACTTTCGTGATATAAATCAAAGCATTTGCACTGTCAATAAAAGGCATTGTCCACAGACGTGTTTTTCTGCGGATATTGCAGGACACCTACATTACTATCGTTCAGAAGAAGAAACGACCACTGGAACAAGAGTTTTATTTTCCTGACGTTTCGGATTCCATCGGGAATCCCTAATCATAGGTAATAATAGAATAATCGGAGCTATGCGCAAATAAGGGTGAAATATTCACAGATTTCGCGGTATTTATAGTTCGTGGCGGTCGTCCACTTGCATACTATAAATATCCGTCCATCTCCTGTAGTCACCGAGTGGGGTCTTAATTGGTGCGGTGATGTCTTGACACTCCGCGTTTGACTTGTTAATTACCAAAATTTCCTTATCCGTGTTGGATGCGGGCTTGGTAATTGCGCGAAAATTATGCTCGCTGTCGTCTGAGTTGTTGCTGGGCCCGGCTCTTCCCGCGTGACTGATTCTCTAGCTCAGGCAATTTATCAGGACGCAGTAGCCAAACGCAAAGTCGTTGCGCTTGTTGATGAACTGGGGGCCAGTAAACCATGACTCTAGCAGCTCGCGGCTCATGCGATTGTCACCTCTTGCGAGGATTTCGACCTCGGTAAACTTAAAAATATGGCCGAGTCCCGTCAAGTGAGCTGCAATCCCTGGAGTTGCCATCTTTTTTCCTCACTGCCGCTGCATGCTCGGCCATCCGCGTCGGGAGTCATCTCGCGGTTTCTACGAAACT